GGTTGATTTTAAAATTAGAATTAAAAATACCACATTTTTTCTTTCTGTGAAGATGTAAAAAAAACAACAACACTGTAGCGCAGCTAGCGCCATTACGGTCGACTATGGGGCTCTAGCAACCGGATAATATTATTATGAGATTGGAGAAATATTTTTACGGGAACTTTTTACCCGCGCCATCTCTATTTATGTCAGTTAACTTGATTTAGATCAGTCGTATTGAAACGAAAAAGAGGAGAAAAACAACAACAATAGTATGGCCACACAGAGCTGTACATCTGTGCTGATGCATACATACACATATACGCTCTCTTCATTCTTTCATTCCATTGTTAAACGTATCTCACTGAACAACAGATCTATGTAGCCATGTTATTGTTGTTGTTGTTGTTTTTTCTCTTTTTCGATTCAATGCAGTGCAACAAAATTGAGTTCAACTATGGAAAACAAGATGGCATAAATAAGGGGATTACGCATTCTTTCTCTTCATAGGCTTCACCGGTTGGGCTCTAGTTAGCAATTAGCGACAGAACAAACGTGTTTTCACAAGTTGGTGGCAACTTTAGATAATAATTTCTTATTAAAATATATTCATAATTTTCTAATGCAATTTGTTTCGGTTTTTTTTGCCTGTTTAAATAATCAAGATTAAATTATTGAATAGCAAATATTGTTCGTTTAGCAGTAAGTAATTTGACACACAAAGTATAAAAGTTAGCGTGCGATACACATTTCATAAAAAACTATATTGTTATGGCTTTCAAAGAAATTTTGAATAAAATTTCGTGTTGTTCATTCACACAAAACTTTTTCATTTGGAATGAATTTCTATGTTTGTGCTTGCATATTTGATTATTTTATCAAGATAAATATAAATACTTGGCCCCATATATGGTGGCAAGTGCATCAAATCCATTATAGAAATTCGCATAACAATATAAAATTGAAAACATTCAGTGCTTTCTATTCTTTCTAAAACTAATCGTGAGAGTTCTACAGCTTTTCGTAATAATCATGGATTGCCGGCTGTTAAGTTGAGTGAAGGTAAGTGAAAAAAAAGATGAAATCGGGCTGAACATTCACACTGTCTATCATATGTTGTGTTCACGGGAGGTGTAAGCACAGATTAACCCCCCTCCCATAAATTATCTTAGATCCGCCGATTGAAGCAATTTGAAGTTTACCACCAAATAAAATACGATTTTAAAATTGTGAACCCTTCTTTGTTCTCTAATTTATTTGAGACAGAATGTACACTAGATAGAACAAGATTTTGAAAGTGAGAAGCTCTTTTCCTAATTTTTCTTGGTCGAATGAAAACCACAAACAACACCCTCCCCTTAATTTACCTACCGTGCCTATGTATGCTGCCTCTACATATGCGAATATATTTCTCGCTCTCTCTCCCCCTCTCCTCAAAACGTTGAATGAAAATAAATGATAACGAGAGTTGCGTGTACAGTGAAAAGAAATAAAAATAGAATGAGTATGTTTGCGTTCGCGAATAATCTGAAAATATACAAAATACGTATTGTTGTCGTTTCTACTGTGTTCGGAAAAAGATTAATACATTTTCTCTTTTTTTCTTGGCTCTCATTGTTACCGTAGTCGCCGGCATTGTTGCGATTTTCACAATAGAAAAAGTTTTCCTAGCAGCTAACGTCGCACAGCATATGGCAAGCGCAGAGGACATGGACGCGCACTGAACAATGGAATGAACTTAAAATCCCCAAAGAATTTCGCTCTCAGTTTAAATGAACGCATAATTCAACAACAAAATCAACATACAAATATATTTGTGAGCTGCAGCCAGAGCTTGAAAATAGAACAACATTTTCGAGCCAACAATAAATACCACACAAAAATAATCAAACAAGAATTTTTTTTCGTCAAACGAAGTGGTCGCCTCGACCCGGACTGGCTTTTAAAAACAAACTCATTCGTGACAACATGAAAAAAGTAGAAGTTCATTGAAGAATAACGGGCGAGTATAAAGATATTATTTGGAAAAAAACATTTCGAGTTGTATTGAAATTCAAAACTCAACGGTTATAGTTGTGAAAAATCTAAGAATAGACTCAATGTTTGAATGTACTGAAAGAATCGCAGTTCTTTGAATATTGCTTTTAGGTCACCACTTTTGCAATTTAACAAAATGTATATTCTTATGTCAACCTTGATAGTTTTATTGTTTCATTTTCTACAGAGATAACATCGTTTATAAAAAATCATATTTTCTTCAAAAGTATCAAATGATGGTAACCAAAGGTATAATGCAATCAACATGTAACTGAAGTATAACTTAACACTTCTTATTTGATCTCAATATTAAAGTTTTGAAACAATGTGAAAAATTTCATGTTCAATAACATAGAATTTTTTGGTTGTACTATATTTTGTTCATATTTTTGACAAAAATTACAATTGTATGTCCATTTTCTTGTAAGCCTGTCTGAAGCAGCAGTTAAAAGAGAAGTCTTTAAAAATCACACCTTGAGCAAAGCAAATAAATTGTTTGGATCTGTGAGAAGCTGTGAAGCCACATCAAATATATTTATATTTTATTATTACTCTTGGAACGAAATAATGATTAGATAACATCTAATACAAGAACATATGCGAATTATGGAAATTCACTATATATTCATACCTTTTAATCGGGTCAAAATGAATAATTGAAGAAAGGAAAAGTGTGTGCGTGGAATCCGATTAAAGTGCGGCGTGTCCGTACGTTTCCCAAATGTAAATATGTGTTCGTCGTTTTGTAATCACCATATGTTTTGTGTAATAGATTTTGTGAGCCCCATAGTTAATAATGGTTGGCTTTCACATGCGATCACACACACAAAAAAATTGGCTTCAGATTAAGAATATAAATGCGCTGACACAATTTAATGCATTACAATGCTACTTACTTAAACATACTAAACATTCGATGTTATGCAGATCAGATCCGGTAGCGGTCTCAGGATAAATACATAAAATACAAGCTATATAAATAAAGAAACAAAGCCAAAAACGCACAAATAAACGCAATATTGATGTTGTCATCAAGCAACACAATACCATACCGACCAAGCAACTATATAATACAAAAGTCGAAATTATTCAAATTTACCGTTTTTCCCTAACTCATTCAGAGTTCCTCCAAGGTAAGTAATTGTATTAAATCACAGAGGAAAATTTGAAAAATGAGCCCCGAGTACACATCTCAACCCCTCAGTTTTGAACTAAAATACAGTCAAGTCGTTTTTTTTTCACGTAATTCATTATTTTCTTTTGAGCTGATCCAAAAGTTACAGCACAAAGTCAATCGTATGACATCTTGAAATGAATGAAATAGAAATTAATTTGGAACACCGACAGTACAACTCAGTTAATAAATTATTCAGATAATCGTGTTATTAAAGTCATTCGTATTTGATGTAAATGACGATTAATCCAATTTTGCTTAAAACTCATATCATATCCAAAAAGGTTCAGTATTCTCTTCGTCTCCTTATGTATTTCGGGTTGTTTAATGTGTCCGAAAGAAGTTGGTATTTGATTTGATTGATTTGAAAACCAAATTTTCAATATCATTATCCATTTATACATAGAGTTTGTGTGTATCATAAAACAAATTTTGGGTTGGAAATATTTCAATTTGTAAGGATTTCGTTTGTGTATGTTCCCAAAAATGATTTCGATTTATTTTCTTGCGCACAAAGCCTGAAAAGAAAGCATAATTGAAGATTTTTTCTCTAGCATTTCCCCCAAAAAAGGTTCCTTCTACGGAAAAGCGCAAACAAAACGGATTATTCCACACAAAAATGAGCCCTAAGAAGACCGGACATAAATGATAATTCCTATTTGTTGTTATGTGCTGTATTAAAAAAAGAGCAACGGGTATAAAACGATGAAAAAACTACTATCAATTTTCACATTTTAATGTTTGCAATGTCCCAATCATTCAATGAATTGTAAACACATCACTGATTCAAAAAATTTACAAAAAAAATAAATACAGTCAAAAGCTACACTGATTTTAAAATGAATAGATAAAACAAACGTTGCACAAGTTTATAATAAAATGTAAGCCATTAATTGTGGGCATGTCCAAAGTCTGCTCGATCAATTATACCCCGCAATAAATCCGTAAATATATTCATATGGAAAATCAACAAGTAGGTAATTGTTATGTCATCACTTTTTGAAAGTCTGTTAATCGTTAACTTCACTGAAAAAACATTGATTTCACAATATGTATTACAAAACTCTGGTTAGATAATTTTGAAAAGGATATTGTTACATTAAATTTAGTAAAAATGGATTGAAAATACCCGCTGATCAAAAAGTTCTCGGAAATCGCGAATTAAATCGAGCGCGGGTCGCGTATGATCAAATTTATTTTTTTGTTAGGTTGGTAGTATCGACCTCGATATATGTGCAAAAATTGTGCGCAATATGTTAGCTAGTATGTGTTTGACAACGGTTTGTTTTGGTCAATCCGAGTGCGTTTTTCGATTTTTTACAATGGATAAAATAACTGAACAAAAGGGTGTTTGAAATTTTGTGTTTTGAATGAAATTTCTTGTGCGGATACATTAAAAATGATACAGAAAGCCTTTGGGGATATTTCCATCAAGAAAACAACAGCATACGATTGGTAAAAAGCATTCATGGAGGGGCGAGAGACCTTTGAAGACAAGCCTCGTTCTGGTCGACCATCAACTTCTGTAACCGAGAAAAAAGTCGAAAAAGTGAAGAAAATCGTGCTATCAAACCGTCGTGTTGGCATTGGAGACATAGCTGAGGAGCTAAACATCTCCTATGGATCGGTGCAACACATTTTGGTTGATTTACTGAACATGACACGCGTGGCCGCACGGCTTGTTCCAGAAGAGCTGACTTTTGAACAAAAAGAGCGTCGAGTGGCAGTGGCAAAAGAGATGCTTGGCAATGTGTCCGAAGACCCAAACTTCATAAAACGGATCATAACTGGTGATGAGACATGGATTTACGAGTATGACGTCGAAACCAGCCAACAATCATCGGTCGAAAGTGAAAGTGTTGCTGACGGTATTCTTTGATTATCGCGGTGTTGTCCATTACGAATTCTTGCCAGAAGGTCAAACCGTCAAAAAAGAGTATTATCTGGCTGGTTTGAAGCGTTTGCGCGAAAAAATTCGCTTGAAAAGACGAGAATTGTGGACCGAAAACTCATGGATTTTGCATCACGATAACGCGCCATCCCATACGGCTCTCGTTGTTTGTGAATTCTTGGCAAAAAATCAAACCAAAGTCATTGCTCAAGCACCGTATTCGCCAGATATGGCTCCGTGTGACTTTTTTCTTTTCTCCAGACTCAAATTGCCACTGAGGGGTAAGCATTTGGACACAATTGAAAACATCAAACAAAAATCGAAAAAGGCCCTTAGCGAGATTTCAGCGCCGGCCTATGCCAAGTGCATGGATGAATGGATCAAACGTTGGGAAGCATGTGTTAATTCTAATGGTAGTTATTTTGAAGGTGACAATAAAGATTTGCATTAAAAATGTATTCGAGTGTGTTTTTTTACAATTTCTGAGAACTTTTTGATCAGAGGGTATGTCAAAACGTCAAATGTATCGCTTTCACACATTGTGTTCGTAACAACAATACAGCGTAACACACAAATTCAATTTCTTGAGAATTGCACACAGCTACATACAAACTTACACATAGTCGTACTCAAGACATCCATTGAAATGAATTATTGTGATGTTGATACAGTTAGTTCAATTGAAATAGAATGCGTGTGCAGCAGTATTTGGGCCGTTATGAATATCAAATAAAAAACCTCTAACGAAGTGAAGAGCGAGTGACAAAACCAAAATGTGAATCAAATGTGAATATACATTTGAACATTCAAAACGTTGCAGAAATTCCTCAATTTTTACTGTCAGTATGGACTGATGACGCAATGCAACGTTCCGAATATACAAATGTATATTAAGTTTTTAATCACAGTACACAGAGAAATTATCTATCATTTATTTTCGTCACAAAATTGATATAAGAAATTTTGTGTTTCACATTTTGGTTTCGTCACTCGCTCTTCACTTCGTCAGAGGTTTTTGCTTTGATATCAGAAATTTTGTGAGAGTAATTTTCCAAATTAAAGATTCAAAACATCTCCACACATGAATTTTAATAATTTTGAAATACAATTAAAATATGGACTTTTAGACTATGTTTTTGGCTCCAAATGTCATAAATTATGGCTCATAATGGGGACGGCCAATTTTCAGTGTGTGTGGTATACACTTTTTTATCTTTGACTTGGGGCATAAATCGATGAAATTCTCAAAAGAAACTATGGAGTCTTTTTCGAGAAAATATCTGTTATGTGTCCGGCCAGACGGTCAGATTTTGATTTTTGGCCGATTTGGCCACCTGAATATGACATTTTTAAGATGCAATTGGCATTTTTAAGACGCCATTCGATAGCTTACTTTAAGACCTTTCCAACCAATATGCATATGCTCTGCACAGTAAGAAAATATCAGCCGAAGCTATACGTAAAACCTACTGGTACGTGCGCTCATACATTTTTACATCTTTTACATCTAGTGAACACACGATTTTTCGGCTGATTCTTTTACTCTTTGTGCGTATTTTCGCACAGTCGAAAAATCGTATGGTCACTAGATGTAAAAACGTATGAGCGCACGTACCAGTCGGTTTTGCGTATAGCGTAGGCTGATATTTTCTTACTGTGTGGGTATGTCAAGTATAGGTGCCACAGCTACAGATTTACCAGCATTGAAATTGTAATGTTACTAACCATTACATTAACATAAACGTCTGTAATAGTTAATAAAATTATAATAGCTATTAATGTAATGCTAACATCTAACATTACAATTTCAATAGCTAATACCGATAATGTCTTGTTACAATAACGATGTGAACGGGTAGTATTGTTAAAAATCTAATATTAATATTAGATATTATTATTTAATATTAACTTTAAGTTGAAAATATATTTACAATAGATGGAGTTTGTGTCTGCTCTAAGCTCAGTATTGAAATTGATTTGGTTAATGAGCAATTTCAATGATGAGCTTAGAGCAGACACAGACGCCATCTATTGTAAATATATTTCCAACTTAAAGTTGTGTTGAAAAGTCTCAATATTAATGTTAGATTTTTGACATTAGCGGCAGCGTTGAGTAACATATTATTATTGTAACGAAGCATTTAATTTTTTCATTCATGGACCCTCTTTTTTGGATTCCACTTTGAAAAATATTTCGATTCCACTCACCATTTATTGAGTGGATAACGAATGGATTCGGGTGGAATTACATTTTTCTGCGACTTTATTGGGTGGATAAAAGATGGAATAAATGAGTTTTACTCTAGTGTTAATTTGATTACTTTGGATCTAGATGAAACTTGTTGAAAAAATGTTGGAGTCACCTGTCGTACCAAATTGTTTTAGATTCCTTATAAAATTACCTTTCGAATGGTATATAAAATATGGAGTTTCCAGCAGGTTTGATGGCGTTTTACACTGGCCGTTTGGCCGAAATATGAAAAATTGTGAGAAAAATCGGCTTCCGAATCTTATTGCAAGCAACCTAGTTCTATGATTTTGATGAAACTTTGCCAGATGATAGCTCTTGAAGCCTTTTTTCAACGGTATATAGCTTATTAGCCAATCAAACTTGTGAATGTATTTCCCAGGTGGCCGTTTGAGGTGGCTCAGTTATTTATTATTTTTGTTCTAAAATCTATATAAAATGTCGCATAAATTTAGTTATTTAATCAAATTTCTCCTATATTTATATAACTTTGCTAAGTTAAATAATTCAAATTTTCACAACAAAAAAAAAAACATTTTTGTAGAAATAGAAAATGTAGAAATAGTTAGTGAAATAGATCGTTAGTTAGCAGTTTAATAAAAATAAGTGCGTGTCAAGTCGAATTTTTCCAATCGATGAAATTTTTTGTTTACAGTCGGAATTACTTGAAAATTGGCATGCCTTATTTTATTCCAGTAGAAAACTACAAAAATTCCAATATTTGGAGTAAAAGTTTTTTTGGAAAAATGTGAATTTTGTGAAAATGAAATTTTTTGTTTACAGTCGGAATTACTTGAGAATCTACTGGAAAAAAAGGCATGCCAATTTTCAAGTAATTCCGACTGTAAACAAAAAAATTCATTTTCACAAAATTCACATTTTTCCAAAAAAAATTATTCCAAATATTGGAATTTTTGGATGGGAGCTATACTCATTTTTTGTCCGATCACATTGAAAATTTCAGAAAGTTATTTTCTACTGAAAAAAAGCGCAAACCAAATTTTAAGAAATTCCGACTGAAAAAATTCCCTCGTGTTAAAATGGCATTTTCCTCTGATTACTTTGAATTTTAACATCTGAGTTTTCTGAGAGTAGTTTATGCGGTTTACTGCCTTTTTGAAGTTCAACTACATAGGTGGCAATTTAGCCAAAATGAGAAAAATATAGGTAAAGTACATTTTCGAGCTGCATTGCAAGCAACCTAGTTCTATGATTTTGATTAAATTTCGCCAGATGATAGCTCTCAAAGTCCTCTTTCTAACGCTATATAGCTTATTAGCCAATCAAACTTGTGAAGAGTTTTGGAATTTCAATTTAATTATGGCATTGACAAAAACCTTAGAGAAAAACGAAATCCATGTGATGCATTTATTATTTGGTCTTCACAATACTGTCAAATTTTAAGCCCAATCCGTGCATTTGTTC